GCCTTTGGACAACTCTTTGTATATAAAATTCAATGTCGACCTACTGTCCATTAGTACTTCGAGCTGTTCGCCTTGTACGGTCGCCGTAAATCGGATCATCCTCGGACCTCTCTCAGCACCTCTTTTCTTGCTTTTGATCACATGTAGCAAGGTCTCCTTGTGCTCGTACTCTTCACGTTCCGGCTCATCCTCATCAAACTCAAGAATACTTGCTTTCCAGCACATCTATGGCTCGGTGTGAACTTTTCGTTGCAAGTAAAGCATAAGCCTTTCTCACGTCTTCGTTGGATCTCCTCAGTCGTAAGCCGTCGCATGTGGCTCGTTGTTCGCGCGCCATCTTCGATTGGTTTGGACTCGACCCGTGTGGGCGTCTCGTCGGTCGCGGTACTTGTGCGCCGCTGGTCCGTGCGTCCATCACCCTTGCTGGCCTTGCGCATCGCGACCAAATGATCGTCGCGTAGCCGTGCTGACTCCATTGCCGCCCGTGTTGTACGCGGCCTATCCAATCGTACCTCAGCCGCTAGCTCGGCCTTAAGTCCGCCAATGAATGCGCCTACCAATGCGCTCTCGGGCCAATCTCGCACCTGACTCGCAAGGTGTTCAAACTCTTTTTGGTAGTCTCGGAGGCTACCATTCTGACGAATTCGGGAGAGTGCCTCGTCATAGTCGTAGTAGTCACTCGTGCCAAATCGCATGACCAACTCTTTCTCGAAATCTCACCACCGAATCTCCTCGCCCTTGGTCTTGTACACATGTGACATCCATTTCCACCATGTGTTTGCTTCACCATCGAGATGATAAGCGGCGATCTTGACTCTCTCGGACTTGTGCACCTCGCTGATCTCGAAAAATTGCATGGCTCGATTTAACCACGCGTCCGGGTCGGTCCCCGTAAACGTAGGCATCGTGAGCTTTGGTCGTGCATGGCCTCGGTCGTCATGGTGGTGCGTTGCGCGTGATGCGCGGGTCCTCCGTGATCGTCCGTCGTCGTCGTCGTGGTCGGTCCTGGGGCTGCTCGATGCCGCGGTCGATCGCAAGGTGTGACTCCGTCGCGGTCGGCGTGTCATGCGCGTGAGTTGCCCGGCTAGATCATGCACCATGAGCTCGAGTTTAGCAAAATTCTCATTGACAAGGTGTTGGCCACTGCCGATGGACTTCAAACTCTCCTCCAAGGCTTCGATCCTCTCTTTATGTGTCATCATGACTGGACTCTCTTTTTTTTGTATATACTTTCGAAACAAAAGAAAAATTTCGAAAAAGGGAAAATAGAATGGGGAAGAAAAAGTTCAACCCAACACACGATCAATCACTCTCAATGAAAGCACCAATGATGAAGGATCGTGTGTTATGTCTAGCTCGACTTGCTCGAAACCCGCGCCGACGCCTTGGTCCCTTCGCAATAGGTTGCTAATACGCGCGCCGACGCCTTCGTACTTCACGATAGGTGTGACGAAACTCGGATGTTGGTCCTATTTCTATCACTATGAAGAAACTCGGATGTTGGTCCTATTCCATTCACGAACTCTATGTAAACTCACAGGAGAAAACACACGAGAACTTTGAACACAATGTTTGACTCTTTTCTACTCACTCATCAATCCTCTTTTCGAATGGTACATAGGTGGGTATTTATAGATACCAAATAGATCTAATCCTAGTCTAAATAGAACTCCTAAACTATGCAAGTAAATAAATCCAAATGCTACTAAACATCTAGGGAATATAGACTTTCCTAACAATTAAAAGACTAATAGGCACATGCCTTTTATTTGGACTCCTAACCAATCTATTATTCCTAATTATACTAAGTAAATCATGTGCCAATCCCCTTTGCTTGATCGGCAAGACAATCGCGCGCCCAAACCCTAGCCATCCGAGTCGCGCCGCCTCGCATGCCTATTCTTCCTCGCGCGGTAACGCGCGCGCGCCATTCCCACGCGTCACCCTCGTCGCGCGCTGCGCGCCCTCGCACTTCAGCCCGCGCGTGCTCGCCCTTCGCGCGAGTGCCTCGCACGTCCCCTCGCTCGCTCATCGCATTGGTCGCGTCCCAGCCACGTGCGCTTGTGTCGCGCACGACCACTTCATCGCCCTTGTCGTCCCACTCGACCAACGCCTCGCGTGTGGCTTCCGTCCTCGTGCCCCAGTCGCACCCGCCTATCGGGCCCATTGCTTCGACCCAATCCACTCGCGCGTCCGCTCCATCGCAGCCACGCCCCGTGCACGCTGACCACCCTACATCCTCCCCTCGTGCGCCTTCTGCCTTAGCCCGCATACGCCGTGCACGTTTATCCCTCGCGCACGCCTTGCACCAATCTCCCAACTTCCCGGGCGAAACCTTCTCACTCTCGTCGTCAGCCCAAGCCTCGTGTTCACGTGCACTTCCCGTCGCGCACCTCATCTTCACCCGGCCTAGACTCGCTGTAACGCCCCGTTTTTTTTTAAAGGATTTATCGAAATTTATTTAATAAAAACCAGAGTTTTTTTTTTTTTTGAAAACAAATTAAAACCTTTATCGAGAAACGAACGCTACTTACTAACATCATCAAAACACACATGCACGAACTATCAATAAAACAAGTTCCAAATAAACGTAAGTCTTAAAACCATTTCAAAAGATCCAACATTATTCAAAGCTCAACCAAATCAATCATAGTTCGAAAAGTGAAAGCAGTAAATAATCCAAGGCAATAATAGCAAACAAATAAAAATTCGAGTTTAAGCGGAAGCATAGATTTATCAACACATTTGACCACTATCTCGCTCGTCCTACGCCACCGCCTCCAGCTCGTCTCAACCTAGAACAAAGGAGAGAGAAAACAACGAGAAAATAATGGGGGTGAGCAACCAACTAGCTCACCTTTATCGCACGGTTATCTCGTATAATTATTTAGAAAGCATTTTCAGTTCAAAACAGTATCAATATCGGTATGCACAGAATTCAAAGCCTAAACCCTCTACCCAGCCCTATCGCAAACCTCCTATGTACATACAACAACCTTCCGGATACGACGGCATGGCTGTAACTGGAAACTTCCCACCCCCGGATACGACGGTACATGGGATCCTTTCCAGGAGACAGTGAAGTTGAATTACCCCTCCGCTCTACACGGATTCGAGTAAATCAGACAATCCCCTCCGCTCTTCACGAATTCGGGCGTCCACCTCCCGGATACAACGGGCAGGCGACTTCCACTGCTTTCGCATTCATCAAGGCACTAGCGTTCGGGACACTTAGACTAGAGTTCTCATGCATACAAAAATTTTCAAAAGAAAACATTACACGAAATAATAAATGCGATAAATATGGAATACATCATAAATGTACCCACCTGATAGCAGCACGGTTCACAGTCACAAATCTCGAAATAAGGCAAGATCAACACCTATAGACACATACATGATGTCATGATCCTACAATCAGAATCTATCTCGACTTAAATCGGAAATCACAAGACAGACCTAGTCGAACACGTTTCGACTAAGTAATTCGTGAAGTCCTGTGGATGTGGAACACTAAGACTCGGCCCTAAACTCGACCAAACCACTTAAAGGAGTTCACAAAAATCCATCTAAGGTTTTACCAAGTCAAACTCACATAAAAACCAAAAAAAAGCAAGTCGATCCAAATTCCATATAACAATTATGCTCGAAAATTGAAATCATTTAATCGCGTGAAAAATAAAAGGTCAAGATATCCTACGAATTAAGCTCTGAAAATTTATACAAAATTTTATCTCCCAGAAAAATGTAAAATCACAAAGTTTCAGCTTTAAACTCAAAATACCCTATTTTATAAAATTCGAATAGTAATTCAGCAAAAAGAGTACATTAATTCATACTCAGATCTAATGAATGAAACTGAACCTGAAAATTTTACATAGCAACATACAGTATGCCGAAGTCCACTTATAAAAATTTCAGCCTTAAATGATAACTGCTGCTATTTTTAAAAATTCAAACGAGCAACAGCAGTTTATCGAATTTAAATCCAAACTGAAACCAAACGGACTCTAAAAATTCCCATATTTTACAAACATGATAAAACTCCTAAAATATGACTCTCAGTAAAATTTGAGAATTTTCCATGCAGTAACCGATTTTTAAAAATTCAAACAACAATTGTGCAGATTCAATAAATAAAACATTACCCATATCAAATCAACTCCAAAAATTCTAAAAAGTTAACACAACACTAAGTCACAGAGGCATGACCTATTCGAATTTCAGCTCCTTTCAGTGAAGCATGAATTTATTATGCATTTAACAATATTCTGGACAGGACACAATTTAATTATTAAAAATAGCTACAGGTCTCCAACAATTATGAAAATATTACACAAGGCAGGAAATGAACAGATAACACATCCCTCAAAATTTCACATTGTTTCGAGCAGCGACTATTTTTAAAAATTCGAGCATCAAAACAGCGATTAACAAGCTCGACAACTTGACAATTAAATCACAACACACAATTTATCGTCCGAGGCCTTTTCATAAGACCAAGGACTCGACATTGTTCCATTATCCACCGACTTACACGACTTTCGAGGTCTCGTTCGATTTTCGAGAAAATCGAAGAGATCCCGAACATACGAACACAACAATTCATATAATCGCACATATTCACATAATAAATTCACACATATATAACACGAGCACTTCACGAACATGAACAATTCAACGAAACATATATGAATTAAACGAGACGGAAAAACGACGAGGTACCGTTCTCGGGAATCGAGCGAGAATGGTTCCGAACGGGCTCGACGGTAAACTCGTCTCGCCGGAAAAAGGAAGGCTCGATGCACGGGGAAGAGGAAGAAGTCGCTGCTGCTGGTTCACGGGCTCGTCGGGAAGTCGCCGGACGCTGCTGCTCGGAGAATCAAAAAGCTCACCGGAAAAACCACAAACAGCGATGGGGAACTATCTTCACGACGCGACACGGGCTCAACGGCTGGCTCGCGGAAGAGGAGCAGGCTTGACGCGACTGCAGGGGCTCGCTGGTCGTCGGCAGAGGGGCAGCAGGGTCGCCGGAGGAGAAGTCTCGTCGGCTTGCAGGCACCGGTCGTGGAGGACTCGCCGGATGGAGGGCCTGCTCGCGATGGATTCAAGCTCGCCGGAAAATGCGAAGGCAGGGCCGCCGGAGGTCAGTTAGCGAGTTGCAGGGATCGTGGAGGAGGGCTGCACACGAGGAGGAGGCTCACCGTGGGTCTGCTAGTCGTGGCAGAGGGTCGCGGGCGAAACTGATCGGAGATGAGGTGATGGTAGGAGATGATGGCGTGAGGATGATGATGATGGCTGCGACGGATTCTCACAAGGGAGTAACAACGATGAAGATGGTGATGAGGGGACAATCAGGTTTTTACGAAAGAAATACGAGAGATGAGATTTCTCGTTTGAGTCTGAGCGAGAGAATGAAGAAGATGGAAATCTGATTTGGGAAAAAGAAAATTGCGGCGTGAGGGAAATAAATACATTCACGCTAGGTCAAAATATTATCTTGCTTCCCAAGACAAATACCACACACACGCACAAAACAGAGAGAAAAATCAGGGTCTTGGGCGGTTTAACGGCTCATGGGCCAGTACGGTTCAGGCGGGTATTCTCGGGCCCAATTTCGGTTCCAACAAAAATTTTTCGGGCTCGATTAAAATCGCACGTAAATAAATCTAACTCTCGGGCTCGGGTTCTCCAATCACTAATTTCGACAGTTCCAATCGATCGCACGATAAAAATAAATCAAACTATAAATATATTTCACATATATTAATACACATTTTTCTCATTTAATAATTAATCACGAAAATCAATTAGACAATTAGACAATAGCATTTAATCACATTTAGGGATTTATTAATACTAAGGCATTCAAGAAAAATATAAATATAAATATTAACATAAAAAAAAAATATAATAATAATAATAATAATTAATCCACAAATAAATTACAAATAAATGGGGCATTACACTCTACCCTCCTTAAACGATTTCCGTCCCCGAAAATCCAAGAAAAATCATCCTAACAGGACAATTGACACACGAGAGAAGCTCAAACCACTCAACTCGGATACTCCGTCCGAACCTTCCCACTCTACCAAGTCACATCGCACTAGCCATGGTTACCCTGCCGGACTTTGACGAGCACCTCTTCCGGACTCTCTATGCTGGATTCGTCAATCCAGTAGGTCACCGGTACCTCATCAAAGGTAAGGTTCTGCCCACATGCAGCTCGTCAAAGATCGCCTCGTGCCTAGAGTCGCGCATCTGTCCCCTCTCCACGAGGCACTGAACAGGTCGTGCACTCTTGCAAGCTCCGGTAATGGGGGTCAACCGTCAGGCTAAGACGCCGACTCGGTCGAGAATCACGAAAGGACCAACAAATGTGGTTGATACTTCTTCTCTTACTAGAACTCGAGGCGTACAACGCCTCTTTCCGTACTCAGAACCTCGTACGGTACCATCAAGATCGTCACTCATAGCCATTGCTATAAGCGCATTTTCCTATGGTAAGAAATTCCACACGACACACCCATCGAGTACACTAGACTCAAAACCAGTCTCTCAGGGTCTCGACAGCATGTCCTAAATGCATAACTATCTGGATTTCTACGCGGTGCCAAGTTCAGTCTCGTGCCCGGGTCACGTTGACAACTTGCCCATGATTGAAATGTGATCCGTGCGTCCGTATCAAACGGGCCGCCACGGGATCTCATACAAAAGGCTAACAAAGCAACAACACCACCACAAACTCAACACTGATACCTACAGAAGCCACGGTTCTGCTTGATATCGTTGACAAAGCCTCATTCCTTACCGACACGAGTAACAGCTCGTATGCGGTTTAGGAAGTATCGACCAGACATTCGAAAACAATTTCTATCGCAGAAATTGACTCTCAAATAGGGATGCTCGACGATCCCATTATAACGATCTAAAAGGACATAGCCAGTCTGAGGTTTAATGCACTGTCACCCGAGAGATGTCATACACACTGGCGCTGCATAAGCGGGGCGCTGGGACGTGTGCCTACATCTGTTCGGAGAACAGCTGCAAGGTCAAGGTTTCGGCCACACACTAGCTTGGGGAGCTCCTGCGTTCGGTGATGGTGGCTGCAGCTCGCGTGCGAGTCAACGATCGGCCCTGCAGTGCCTCACGTCTCTCAGCACGGGCTCGCGTGCTCGACCACCACTTCGCGTGACTACACCCAGTCAGCGTCGGCGTTCGGTTCGAGGTACAATAAGGATTACTCTAATTCAAGGTTCGCACTATCTGAGGTAACCCAAAAGGAAAAGGTTTTCACAAACCAAGAAACATTAGGGTTCAACAAGGACATTATCCCCCAGCATTTAGGTATTAACAATCTCGAAATGTTCAGGGTTTCAAAACATCACATCTAAAGAAAAGGAACATCGGCATCCTCAGCTAGAAATCATCCCCAACTCAGCGGTCGTTGCCGAACAATGCAGTTGATCAGCTCACATGACTCTTCCGACTAAAAGTGTAGGCCGTCACGTTAGCTCTATCCCCGGAAGCTAATCGTGCCGGCAGTCCTATACGAGCTCAATTTCTACACTGCTAAGATTTTCACGTTTCTGGATCTCATCACGAAGCCTTCTTGGTTGATTCGTCTCGATCGCGTCTCGAATATGGGTCATCAACGATAAAAATAAAGCACGACTAATCGATCCGGGTATGAATGAAGTACCCAGACTGAAATGGCATCACCAAAATCGAAGGGAACGATATAAGACAAGCGGAAAAACAAAACTGCTCGTCTTAATCAATATATCAGGTTGCAAATCTTGAAATGAAACTCCAATGACAAAAACAAGAGTTTTCAGAGAATTGCCAAAGAATTAAATAAATACAAAGGTTCGCTCTCGAAACTCCAAAGGGAAAAAGAATGAGAGTTTTTCAAAGATTTACGATAATCACAATTCAAAAACGAAGACGGTTCTGCACCTCACGATGTGGTTACATCAGGCTCGACTACCCTCCTTAAAAGATTCTCCTATAACAAAAATATCCCTAGAAAGGTGTCGAGGCTCCTCCCGATCAGGTATGCGATGATTCTCACGTACGCCACTTCGGTTCAAAGTTAAAATAAAACACGAAAGAAAATTGATCGCCGTCTATCTCGAAGCTAAGGTACTCTCAAGTCGACCTTCGCATCGACTTAGCGACGTTACTACACACGGTTCGATATCAAATAAGGATCAATGGAAACTGAAATTCGATGCTCAACTCCATCCCAAAATTCTCCGCAAGGAAAAGAAAATCAAGCGAATTGTCACGGAACGAAAATCAAATAATAAGAATTGGTCACGAAATACAATTCAAACTTGACTACTAAGCGAAAAGTAGCAATCAAGGATAAAGGAATAGCACTCGGGTAGCAAAGGAGTGAACGGTAGGTTAAAGCGTTGAAAACGGATCAAACTCGCACGTTAATATTTGTTGCAAATTTCTAGAAAACTGAATTGCACGAAGTCTGTATTTTAATGCATCTCTTTGAACAAAAAAAATGCTATATGAATGAAACTTGTGACATTTAAATCATAATAGGCAAAACTACAATTCATGTGAAGACACCGGAAGCAAATAAGGCCATTTAGCAGGTGATAAATCAACAAACATTAAAAATTTATTTACAGACCAAAACTGGGGTAATGCACCTAGCCAAACATCAGTAATTTCTCTCTAACTGAAGCTACAGGCATGATTTTAATGAAGTTTTAAAACCAAATGATATATAACTCAAACGTCTACAACTTTGCTGAAGGTCACTTTGGCAAATAAACACATTTTCAATGAGTTTAAACACAAAACATGTGGTTCAGAAAATCTGTCAAAAAAATAACATGTGTTATGGACAGCACCTCAGTGTTTACAACCTAGACTGAGCTACAGACCTTCAAATGACATGGTTCAAGTCTCAAATTAAACCTTAAGCATGCCTCTATAACTTTCCTTTAGAACACACGAGCATAAAAGGTCATTTATATAGCGTAAAATCAGTTAAAATTCAATATCAGATTTCTGTCAAAACACAAAACTCTATCTCATGCATGTCTATCTTCCTAAGAACATTACTCGAGATACAGAGCACATATTAACATGAAATTTATCTCATTAGAAATATAAGAAACAGACCTATAACTTCCATGAAGATCATAAATTCATACGAGCACATTACGACATGATAAACAGGTCATACATTAATTACACACATGCTGTCGGGTAACCGGAAAACTGGACGCGCAATATTCTCGTAAAAATCATAACTTATTCGATATAACTCGGAATCGAGAAATTCCAAAGCCCAGATATAGACAACCAAACATACTACATTTCATAAGAAGATAGAAACTTCATATAACCAGCCTCTGATGGCTTAAACTGAGGCACAACAGAAACAGCGAACATGCGAATTAACAAGAAATAAAAATGAACATATATAACGAATGTTCTAAGCTCGACCACGATTAATATGACTTCCAGACAGAAATAAATGAGCATAATATGTTTATCACAGCAACTACACGATACTCGATTTATAGAAGACGAGAGTTATCAATATCCTCGAAGAAATTGCGAGACAAACCAACGAGAAAGAACGAATAATAACGAACAAGGGAAATCAGCCATCAAACTGATTTCCACGAATCTACAAGCACAAGTGGTCAGATCATCGATGTGAAACTGAAACTTAGACTCCACTCCCGGTTCCCATTGACCGGGTTCTACACGCGTCTAAATAGTTCTAGCCACAATAGTCACAGACTTCCGAATAATCCACACACCCGGGACTTCTTCGTTTGTCTGTTCCGTTTACTTAAGCCTTCTCTTTCGAGAAGCTTACGAATGATTCTCACTCGATGGTACTAAACATAAAACTCGTAATGAGAGCACTGCTATAGACCGAACTTAACTCGATAACACCCAACCAAAAACTCTCAACAAAAAAAAAATCTCTTAAGTCGGCATTTAACTCTGCACCACTAGAGTTCAAGTCTGAATAAACGGAGGGTAAATTCCTAAGCCCCAATAAAAGAACAAACCATAACCACGTCATTCACAATAATCAAAACAAATAAAACTCATACCTTGAGCTGGTGCGGCGAGACGAAGCGAGTGGTCAATGGTCATCAAACACTTAATCACAAATGAACCAGTCTACAGAAAAGTAAGACTGGCTCTGATACCAAACTGTAACGCCCCGTTTTTTTTAAAGAATTTATCGAAATTTATTTAATAAAAATCAGAGTTTTTTTTTTTTTTTTTTTTTTTTTTGAAAACAAATTAAAACCTTTATCGAGAAACGGACGCTACTTACTAACATCATCAAAACACAAATGCACGAACTATCAATAAAACAAGTTCCAAATAAACGTAAGTCTTAAAACCATTTCAAAAGATCCAACATTATTCAAAGCCCAACCAAATCAATCATAGTTCGAAAAGTGAAAGCAGTAAATAATCCAAGGCAATAATAGCAAACAAATAAAATTCGAGTTTAAGATGAAGCATAGATTTATCAACACATTTGACCACTATCTCGCTTGTCCTACGCCACCGCCTCCAGCTCGTCTCAACCTAGAACAAGGAGAGAGAAAACAACAAGAAAATAATGGGGGTGAGCAACCAACTAGCTCACCTTTATCGCACAGTTATCTCGTATAATTATTTAGAAAGCATTTTCAGTTCAAAACAGTATCAATATCGGTATGCACAGAATTCAAAGCCTAAACCCCCTACCCAGCCCTATCGCAAACCTCCTATGTACATACAACAACCTTCCGGATACGACGGCATGGCTGTAACTGAAAACCTTCCCACCCCCGGATACGACGGTACATGGGATCCTTTCCAGGAGACAGTGAAGTTGAATTAGCCCTCCGCTCCACACGGATTCGAGTAAATCAGACAATCCCCTCCGCTCTCCATGGATTCGGGCGTCCACCTCCCGGATACAAAGGGCAGGCGACTTCCACTGCTTTCGCATTCATCAAGGCACTAGCGTTCGGGACACTTAGACTAGAGTTCTCATGCATACAAAAATTTTCAAAAGAAAACATTACACGAAATAATAAATGCGATAAATATGGAATACATCATAAATGTACCCACCTGATAGCAGCACGGTTCACAGTCACAAATCTCGAAATAAGGCAAGATCAACACCTCTAGACACCTACATGATGTCAAGATCCTACAATCAGAATCTATCTCGACTTAAATCGGAAATCACAAGACAGACCTAGTCGAACACGTTTCGACTAAGTAGTTCGTGAAGTCCTGTGGATGTGGAACACTAAGACTCGGCCCTAAACTCGACCAAACCACTTAGGGAGTTCACAAAAATCCATCTAAGGTTTGACCAAGTCAAACTCACATAAAAACCAAAAAAAAGCAAGTCGATCCAAATTCCATATAACAATTATGCTCGAAAATTGAAATCATTTAATCGCGTGAAAAATAAAAGGTCAAGATATCCTACGAATTAAGCTCTGAAAATTTATACAAAATTTTATCTCCCAGAAAAATGTAAAATCACAAAGTTTCAGCTTTAAACTCAAAATACCCTATTTTATAAAATTCGAATAGTAATTCAGCAAAAAGAGTACATTAATTCATACTCAGATCTAATGAATGAAACTGAACCTGAAAATTTTACATAGCAACATACAGTATGCCGAAGTCCACTTATAAAAATTTCAGCCTTAAATGATAACTGCTGCTATTTTTAAAAATTCAAACGAGCAACAGCAGTTTATCGAATTTAAATCCAAACTGAAACCAAACGGACTCTAAAAATTCCCATATTTTACAAACATGATAAAACTCCTAAAATATGACTCTCAGTAAAATTTGAGAATTTTCCATGCAGTAACCGATTTTTAAAAATTCAAACAACAATTCTGCAGATTCAATAAATAAAATATTACCCATATCAAATCAACTCCAAAAATTCTAAACATTTAACACAACACATATAAGTCATAGAGGCATGACATATTCGAATTTCAGCTCCTTTCAGTCAAGCATGAATTTATTATGCACTTAACAATATTCTGGACAGAAAACAATTTAATTATTAAAAATAACTACAGGTCTCCAAAATTATGAAAATATTACACAAGGCAGGAAATGAACAGATAACACATCCCTCAAAATTTCACATCGTTTCGAGCAGCGAGCTATTTTTAAAAATTCGAACATCAAAACAGCGATTAACAAGCTCGACAACTTGACAATTAAATCACAACACACAATTTATCGTCCGAGTCCTTTTCATAAGACCAAGGACTCGACATTGTTCCATTATCCACCGACTTACACGACTTTCGAGGTCTCGTTCGATTTTTGAAAAAATCGAAGAGATCCCGAACATACGAACACAACAATTCATATAATCGCACATATTCACATAATAAATTCACATCATATATAACACGAGCACTTCACGAACATGAACAATTCAACGAACATATATGAATTAAACGAGACGAAAAAATGATGAGGTACCGTTTCGGGAATCGAGCGAGAATGGTTCCGAACGGGCTCGACGGTAAACTCGTCTCGCCGGAAAAAGGAAGGCTCGATGCACGGGGAAGAGGAAGAAGTCGCTGCTGCTGGTTCACGGGCTCGTCGGGAAGTCGCCGGACGCTGCTGCTCGGAGAATCAACAAGCTCGTCGGAAAAACCACAAACAGCGATGGGGAACTATCTTCACGGCGCGGCACGAGCTCAACGGCTGGCTCGCGGAAGAGGAGCAGGCTTGACGCGACTGCAGGGGCTCGCTGGTCGTCGGCAGAGGGGCAGCAGGGTCACCGGAGGAGAAGTCTCATCGGCTTGCAGGCACCGGTCGTGGAGGACTCGCCGGATGGAGGGCCTGCTCGCGATGGATTCAAGCTCGCCGGAAAACGCGAAGGCAGGGCCGCCGGAGATCAGTTCGCGAGTTGCAGGGATCGTGGAGGAGGGCTGCACACGAGGAGGGAGGCTCACCGTGGGTCTGCTAGTCGTGGCAGAGGGTCGCGGGCGAAACTGATCGGAGATGAGGTGATGGTAGGAGATGATGGCGTGAGGATGATGATGATGGCTGCGACGGATTCTCACAAGGGAGTAACAACGATGAAGATGGTGATGAGGGGACAATCAGGTTATTACGAAAGAAATACGAGAGATGAGATTTCTCGTTTGAGTCTGAGCGAGAGAATGAAGAAGATGGAAATCTGATTTGGGAAAAAAAAAATTGCGGCGTGAGGGAAATAAATACATTCACGCTAGGTCAAAATATTATCTTGCTTCCCAAGACAAATACCACACACACGCACAAAACAGAGAGAAAAATCAGGGTCTTGGGCGGTTTAACGGCTCATGGGCCAGTTCGGTTCACGCGGGTATTCTCGGGCCCAATTTCGGTTCCAATAAAAATTTTTCGGGCTCGATTAAAATCGCACGTAAATAAATCTAACTCTCGGGCTCGGGTTCTCCAATCACTAATTTCGACAGTTCCAATCGATCGCACGATAAAAATAAATCAAACTATAAATATATTTCACATATATTAATACACATTTTTCTCATTTAATAATTAATCACGAAAATCAATTAGACAATTACACAATTAGCATTTAATCACATTTAGGGATTTATTAATACTAAGGCATTCAAGAAAAATATAAATATAAATATTATCATAAAAAAAAATATAATAATAACAATAATAATTAATCCACAAATAAATCACAAATAAATGGGGCATTACACTCGCACGCCTCGCGGCTCGGTTGCCGCGTCCCGCCGGTACACGCGCCTTAGTGCGTGCGCACACCCTTCTAGCCTGTGCCCGAGCCCTTTCTCGCCTAACCTCTCGCCATCTCTCGAGGCCATCGTGGCTCTCGTCCTCGGGTTCGTCGGGGTCGATGACCACATCCGCATCAGGCAGGCCCTCCGCGCCGCGGCACAGCACCTCTCCGCGCCGCGCCGCACCAGCCTCGCGCCGTGATGCCGTGTGGCTATATATATGCATCGGGATCGCGACAGAAGACCATCTCTCAACTTCTCTCGACTCCAAAAACGAGAAACCCTATCCCCTCTTCTCTTTCACTCGTTTTTCACTTTTCTTTCATATTTTTCGACGTAGAACTCAGACTTACACTCGGATTTTGCTATTGTTCTTGGATTCAAGCTTGTCTTTCGAATTTGACTTTGGGATTTTTATTGTAAGATTATCTTTTCTCTTAATTGATGAATATGAATGGTCTTATTGAAATGTTTCTTTGTGTTGGATTGATTATGAGTAGCTAAATCCTTATGCTAGGGATAGGGGATTGAAGTTTTGATATCGTTTGTGATTGTCGGGCTCAGGATTGTTCAATTTCATACAAGTTGATCTTTTTATAGGGTTTTTCAATCGTCGGGCTCGAATATTTAGAATTGTTGAAGGGTGACACTTCAATCCCCAATTGTTTGCAATTGAGTTCGACATATTCTTGCTTGATGTTGGTTATTCTAAACGGACTAGTTGATTAAACACCTTCTAGTCTACTTTAATCGACTCTTAGAACCGAAAGGGGAGGAGTCGGTCGAAATAGGCTTGTATGAACTAGGCTTGTTCGTAACTGTATTGCCTAGAAGTTAAATGAATTGTTAATTTGCCGTTCTAGTTTGTTCTCTTGTTACGAAAAGTTATTGAGAATGAGTACTTGAACATGTCGATTATTCAAATCACTTAGCTGAACAATCTCTTGCTTGATAATTGCATTTTCGAACCAAAACGGATATCCCCGACTCCCTAGCTTCTTAAATCCTGATTGTTCTTCGTCGTTGCTTGCTATTTCTATTTACCTTATTTGAAGTCTTTTTCGTAGTTAATAATCCAAATTAATCCATCTGAATTAGAATGTTTAGGAATTTTGTTTCTCTTCTTATTTGAATAAACGTATAGAATATTCCGGCTAACCTTCCTCGTGAGACACGACCCGGTGTTCGAATCTTTCGATTCTACTCCAGAAAAATACATACAACAAAATTGGCGCCGTTGTCGGGGAAGGTTTAGGACATATTTTGTGCGCTTATTCATCTTATTTTTCGTGTTTCTTTTTGGTTTTGTGTTTTTCTTGTTTTCTGTGTTTCTTTTTCTTATTTTATTTTCTTTTCTTTACCATTGATGCTCGTAACCCGTTGTTTCTTTGAGTGTATGCGTACCAGGAGTGGACGTAAACTCTTCCCAATCAACAAACCCTTCAACGAGAGCCTGAGAGAACTGCTAGACGAGCTTACTCTCGAATCAAACGAAGAAGGCGAGCACCGACCAGAATCATCTGAGGGGAGTAATTCAGACATGGCTGATCAACAACCGCCTCGCAATATCCTTCGTGACCTGGCCAAACCCATGATCGGGCCAATCACTTCCTGTATCCAGCTGGAGCAAGACACCCGAAACTATGAGCTGAAGATGGTCCACTACAATCAGCTCCCATCATTCCACGGGCTCCCCAACGAAGACCCTCTCCACTTTCTTTGGGAATTTTACAACGTCCTCCAGACGTTCCCTTTGCATTGGCTAACCGAAGACCAGCTCAAAATGCGGTATTTCCCAAAAACGCTAAAGGACCGGGCCAAGGCTTGGTTCATGACCCTCGCCCCGGATTCTCTATCAATTTGGGCCGAAGTCTACGCTAAATTCGTTGGGAAGTACTATTCCCATCAGAAGACTTAAGATATCCAGTCTCAAATAGTCTCCTTCGCTCAGCTGCCAAACGAGCCTCTGCACGAGGCTTGGGAACGTTTCAAGGATCTATAGAGGCAGTGCCCCCACCATAACCTCTCTCCTGGGCTATTAGCGAACTGCTTCTATGACTCCCTCCATCAGAACTTGCAGTACATGGTGGATACTGCAGCCGGAGGGGACATTGGAGGCAAAACGGCAGAGGAGATGATTGTGATATATGAGACGATGAGTGCGAACTCGTCTCAGAAGAGCATCAGAGGAAAGAGGACGACAGTGCATGAGATTGGAACGAGTAACAATGCCATGGCCCAGCAGCTAGTTGAGCTCACGGAGCAGATGAGGGTACTGAATGCGAGAAGTTCTTCACCAATTCAGACAATGGCAGTAAATGCTTGTGGAGTATGTGGAGTTCCGGGACACAGTTCTGAGGTGTGCCCTATGGCTCTCGAGCCAAATTATGGAGGGCAAGGAGCTGAGGTCAATGCAGTGCAAGGATATCAGAACCGAACCGGAAACGACCCGTACTCTAACACATACAACCCCGGGTGGAGAAATCACCCAAGTTTCTCCTGGTCTAACAACAACTCCCAGCAGCCGTCCCAACCTAACTTTGTCTCCCCTCAGCAGCAACACAGGGGACAAATGTTAAGGTTACCAGCACCAGAGCCGGACCGAGCCCGCCGAACTCAGACGAAAAACTGGATAAAATCCTTCAGTACATGGCCAACGGTGAGCAGCAGAGTGCGAATAGTGAGGCCTTCATTAAACGTTTGGAAGCACAGCTAGGCCAGTTAGCCACCCGAGTGGGGAACATAGAGGTGGAGCTGAAGAAAGACAGATTGCCGAGCCAGCCGGAGCACGCAAATGCGGTAACCGTAATTATGCCTGAGAGAGTGCTGGAGGAAAAGGTGGGCCTGAAAAAGCTCACCCAAATGGAAGACGCCCCAGTGACACCACCACCTGAGCCTACTTTACACAGATCTCCGAACCCCTACAGACCGAAGATTCCCTTCCCGAGCCGACTCTTGGAGGAGAAGGGCCGAACGATGATTCGGGACCTTCATGCGATGTTGGTTAAGGCCAATGTCGACTTAGCTCCTCCCGATGTGTTGAAGAAAATACCGGCCCATGCATGATTCTTCAGGGAAGTGGCCACGAACAAAAAGCGGTTCGACAATGATGATGAGGTGGTAATTTGTGAGGCGGCGAGTGTCTTCCAGCACGACTTGCCGAAGAAAGAAAGAGACCCCGGTGGCTTTGTGATCGACATAGCTTTCGGGAGTGGACAAGTTGTTTCGGGGATGCTTGATCTCGGAGCGGGCATTAATCTTATGCCACTCGCGGTTTATCATCGGCTCGGGCTTGGAGATTTGAAGCCCACCAGGATGCGCTTGCAGCTTGCAGATCGTTCGTTCCGTCATCCGGAAGGGATTGTAGAGGATGTGCTCGTCCGTGTGGGGAAGCTGATAGTCCCCGTGGACTTTGTGGTGCTTGATGTGGGGAACGCACAAGAAAACAGTAAGGAGCACGCCATTCTCCTCGGACGACCCTTTATGGCAACCACCGGCACAGTCATTGATGTGAAGAAGGGAACTGCGTGCATGA